TTAAATCTACTTGGAGAAGATATCTAAACTATATTACAAACTACAACAACGTTTACACACAAAGCAAAAAAAGTGGGTCAAGACGGCTAGTGATAAATTATGAAAACGTGATAGAAATAGTGGTAAATTAAGATGACAATTTTACTAGCTGAGAACTACGTATTTAAAAAAAAAATCCAACCCTTTAAATGCTTATTTGCACGAGTGACAATTACATGAAGTAATGATTGGGGCATAGAAATAATCAATCACATTGATTAAGCGGAAAAGGTATATTACGTATTAATCAAGTCATTTAAGTCTAAGTTCTTCTCTGGGGATACACAAGTACGTTTGTACATGGCAATAGTAAGACCGACAATAATTTACGGATACAAGTATGGCCCTTGACAGTACGAATCGAACATAAACTAAGGACCTTTGCAAACAAGGTGTTAAGAGGACAATACAGCCATTTGTTGTGTCAGTCTTAGAAGTGTGTAACATAGAAAATTTACGGTCAGCAGATCAGATTTAGCTTTGTTGGTTTAAAAATTAGAGGGAATCGAGCTATTGTGAAACTCGATAGTAGAACATGTTTCTAAATTAGTTTTTTACCATAGTTCAATTTTTAGCAAATTTTGAATACATAACATAGTGTAAATTCAAAATGCTCATAAATCACTTAAAAACGTAATCATCGTAAAAAAAACACGCATACAAAAACAAATAATGTTCTTACCATCGAGTTAAACTGACGGAGCTAAACGTGATCTGCTAAGCGTAAATTTGGAATGTTACCCACTTGTAATGTAACAAACCGACTACGTCCGTTTGATGGTGTGACTGGAGTGATTATTTATAAAATTTAAACATAGTCACAGCTCGCTACAGTAAGATGGAGACAACAAATATCTGTGTATTGTCCACTTAAGAATGATGTGCATACCAATGTATGATAATGAGTTGAATTTCCGACGAGGAAGAAAAACATGGAAATAACATAAATTATGAAAGTACCCGCAATAACAACCTATATAACCCATATTATAGAGGGACAAATAACTAATAAGTAGAGTTGAACCCTTGACTCACAGAAAGTTAACAAACAAAGTTAGGGCACTTATTGAATGGAAACCAGAAAGGAGGCCAAGAGAAAGGTCAAAGAAAATATAGAAACGCGGAACACTGAAGGACTCAGGGAGATTAGAAGTGATTGACTGGAAGGAAAGAGTCCAGGATCAAAAACGTCGGGGGGGGGGGCACTAAGCGTTGGCTCTTTCAGAGTTATGATGATGATGACGACGATATCACTATGACGTCAGTAAATTAAATATCAAATTATAATCTTATCACTAAGTTCATTAAAAGTTATTTGTTAATGCAATTTCTATGGTAAAAACCAACAAAAATAAGTTAATAATAATTATTATTACTTTATGTTTATATTTCTATACTATTGTGATGATAAAATATCATGGAGCCTACTCAGCGACATCAATTACTAAAATGGAAAAAGAGAATTTCGTTTAGTTTCATAACAATTAATCGAGTTTACAATTAAACAAAATATCTCAATCCCCATCTAAATGTACACACAACAAAAACATACAATGTATGTAAACAATAAAGCATCGATAGTAAATGTATAAATGAAAAACTTTTTTTCTCTTTCGATATTATTTCTGTGTGTGTTTCTGAGTTTCACTAATACAGGTATAATATGGTGCTGTATGCCCATACATGTTGTCAAACAAAAGAAATATCAAAAGTAGTTTACGGTTAATCTTTACCCATACATGGCTATGTACAGAGATAAAAAAATGTTTAAGCTTCCATGGGTAATCATTATACGGTAGACATTTTAGGTGATAGAGAAACGATAAATTGGAACAAATATAATATTGTACGTAAGTAAAAACAAAGAACATAATATACAGTAAGAAAAATATAGAATAATGATAAGCAGCATTACCTTTAATCCGCAGTTAAAGAAACAAGGACTAAGTAGAATAACGAAAAACACCTAAATAATACATTTGGACAGATATTGGACGATTCCCTAATCCAGGGTAACCATAGGGTAACCCATCAGAAACGCATGAACCGTGGATGTTCTATGGATCACATAGCAATTATCCCATCGGTAGTCAGTTTCAAATTGCGTCCAAAAACCAACCATCAACTCAGTCTGGCGGAAGACATCGCAAAGAAAAGTTTCAAGGTTCAACACTGAATATGTCGAGGGAACGAAATCATAATATAATTTAGCAATGATGATTTAAAAAATGTTTATAACATCACACCTATTTTAATAAATATTTTTTTTTACTAATACTTCGATGAAGTTCGAAAACAACGTGCGAATGGTCGAATATAGTCTTCCTTCCCTGAATAGTTTTCAACTCGATAATATTTATATTCGATTTATAAACATCACAATAGGTAAATTGTATTCTATTATTTAAGCCGTCCTGCGTAAGTTTAGTAATTAACGTTTTTTTTCGCAAAAGTTCGGTGTTAAATGTTGATGTAGCTGTTTTGTCTATTCGAGATGCCGTCGGTATAAATATAAGGTGTTTACTGAAAAAGTCTAATTTTAATTGCAAATAAAAAAAAAAATCATGTTTTTACTGAAAAAATTATTATTACTACTTGACATGCATATAAATATTGTTAATAGCCATACTTCGTTGAGATACCTCTTCGAAAGAAAAACCATATAAAATAATTATACAAGGCTTTTACCTGGTATCAGAGGATTTTTCCAAATCTTCATAATTTTTCCGAATTTTTAGATTCATCACGTTTCCTCCAAATTTGATCCTCTTTTATCGATTTATGGCCGAATAAAAATTTTTGTGTAATATTTGCTTTGTTTTACCTCGCAAATGTCTTGAGAAAAATAATATATAATGTCTCGCAGTTTTATATCCATATGTACAATATCGTGTATAAATAATAATTTATCGACAGGTGTTATTTGACAATTTATACTTGTGTATGATTTGCATAACAAAAAAAAAACACGGTCATACGTCTTCCATCATAGTACCTACACTGGTGTACTGCACACATATAGGACGGTGTGTATAGATACAACGTAGTGATATTATTATGATATAATTTATTAGAACGATGGAATATATCGTTTGCGAATGACGAAATCCAATTTTGGTTTACTCGAAATCGCAGAAATGATAAAAACGAAATATATTTACATATAAAGTGGTCGTCTGTATTGATCATATTATTATTATGTTTTACATGAATAGCATTAAAACCATGTTTGTAGATAAAATAAAAGTTTTCTCATTACTATAACTATAATAATAATATTATAACACAGCGTTTATATTATTAAAAGGTCGATCATAATTATTTAGGGTGACCTATCTTTTTTATTAGTTAAACAGCTGACCTCATGTCAGGTGACGGATTCTCACCCCTTGCATTATATCTGCCAACTTGACAAATGATGCATTATACACATGTTTTAACATATATATTTTAATGTATAATATACGGCAGAGTGCAATATTTTAGATCCTAAGCAGAGCGATGAATGTATTGGTTTTACAATGATGTATGATTTTTTTTGTGTCTGAAGAAACTTTTTACGATACCAAAAATGCTTTGATCATCAACTTGAAGGGTGGCTTTTGGTAGAAAATCAGATCAAGTTGGCACTTTCAAAAGGTCAAAAGAAAAATGTTCAGTACTTTTCTTAATAATCATGAAAAACTGAAAAATAATTACTTAAAAACAGCAATGATATATTTCACGAAGTACCAGTTTTTGTCAAAATCGATTAATTCAATAACGAATAATCGTAGAGAACTACTATGAATTTGCGAAAAATATTCATTTTAGCGTTTCATAGACATGGTGCAATTTTCAAAATAGTTTGGCTCTTTTTGACTTATAACTATTATGATATTTAACATTGTCAATTTTTTTCTATCCATAAATGTTGATAAAAATGTTTACATCTTGGCCAAAAAGCTTGGAATTTTAAAACAGAATTAGCCATAAGTTGTTCTAATTGGAATTTAAAATTAAGTTCTGCGCAAAATTAACATTACATTTATTAGAGCTTAAAGCTAGAATATTCACGAAATACGTCAAAATCACGAAAATTTGCTAATTATCTTGTAGTTAAAAATTCATAAAATGTTGAACTTTGAAACCTAGCTAAGACTTGAAAATGTAACACAATATTCCCCATAAGTTTTCCTTACTATAATTTTTAATTAAAGTTTGACCTAAAATTACAACCATTTTGTATGAACGTTTCAAGTTTGAATTTTGAAGATATTGAATAATAACGAGTTATTCTGTAATGCTATTTGTTATTCGTATTTTGTGATTGTTCAAAAAATATTTATCGTGGAACTTGAAACATTATTAAATTTCATATTGACAACAATATTTAGTCAAATATTAAAATATTTGTAGACATTTTAAATTTTAGAATTTTTTAGTTTTCTATAAATTTTGATAACATTTTTTCTCTACATAAAAAATGTGTATATACGTATAAAATGTATTACATTAATATTTACCTACTTGAATTGTTTAACTATTATATTTGATCACATAATATAATATAATGTCTTACCAGATAAAATAAAAAAATAATAATAACTGAACGAGCACAAGTTAAACTTTGTTTTATATTATTTTCTAAATCAATATTGGCTTATATACGATAAGCTCTCGAATACGGCAGATATGTTTAATATAATACTTACTCTACTACGAGTAGATATATTTGTTAGTAATAAGTTATTGTGGCGCCTCTGGAAAAAAATATGTCCTTAAAACACGCACATCCTGTGCTAGTTTTATGTGATGAAATGCATTATTTTTTATACGATTATTGTAATAAACATAATGAAACGAAGTAAAATATGATATCAACGACACCGGCTGCTGAAAATTTCGCCTCACTCCACCTGATAACCTGCCCCAATAAACGACCCATAAACTAACCCTATATGTTTTTCTGCACTATACAGGTATCGGAAGTGGAGACCAAAAGGAATAAACTGCAGAGGATGATGGCGATCGACACCGATTGTCCGTCGACTCGAGTCTAGTAACAATATTTTACGATCGAAACGAGAGCTACAGCTCAGCTGGTCCCACCACTATACGCCGATGCACTGCAGTCACTCGTCGACGTCAACTGTGCGTTTGTCGAAGGATTACATAGTCTATAGAGTAATATTTATGATTATTGTTGCATAATATATTATTATTATTATTATTATTATTATCGTTATATGTTCCATATTGGAATATCCGGATGTATCAAATTATAGTATCATCATCGACGTGTGGTATACGCTCCCCTATCCATTCAACCCCTCCCCATACGCAGTTGCCAAAAAATAAATTATATTAATTTAGTGTTACGTCATATCACGTGTCAATTCGAGCGACGGGAAATTTTCGGCGATTGGAAAACAACCGAATGTGTAAAATATATTACTATTTTGAAGATAAGACTGGTCGTTACAGACTACTAACTATAATACGTATTATGATAAAAAATTATGTCGTTTTGTGCACGTCCAAACCGCTGTGCCGTGTGCACTGCATGAGTTCTCTTACCCGGTGAAATCCGTTCCCGTTTAAAGTCCAGACAACGTCAGAATAGTTACCTCTAGTTTTTCCTCTTCGAAACGATTTATTTTTAATTTTATTTTGAACGAATAAAATGTTACGCTCCTGAAAAACCGTTCTAGCCGGCGACGTCCTGTTCTCATTCAAACGGCAACCCTAGGCCTTTTGTGTTATTATTGCTTTATCAATAGTACGGTTGAATAGCCGAACGATCGCAATAATATTATTAAAAAAATATACTTTTTAATTTGACACCACGAACGAAAACAAAAATAAATAAATCTCTTCGATATGACGTCGTACAGCTTCAAAATATATTCAACGAATTTAGATTCACTGGTTTTCAGTTCAGTCCACACGTAATATCGCATTAGTTATTATTAAGTAATCGGAAAAATATTTTAGAAATACTTTTATGGAGACATCTGCTGCTGTGGATTGATTGGATTCGTGTCGGAAGAATCGTCATTTACATGTAAATTCCAATTTCTGTATTATTATTGTTATTTCGTATCCATATCGTGATACTTATCTCGTGTGGATACTTTAGTGCTTAGAAACCTGAGTTGAATTTACAAAGTGTTTAAGAAAAACGGGGATCAACGAAATATTTTCGTGAAACGAAATTAAAGGTTAAAGAGAAGAAGCTCATAATATTATTGATAATTTTCTATACAGTTAATTTTATTTTATAAATCATGCTCTGTGATCATCTATTATTTTTCGGTATCAATTGTCAGCGAAGTGAAACAATATTTATTAATACAACGCTTTTAGAGTAGATGTAGCTTTAACCCTTTTATTGGTCGAAGTACAATTTATAATGTTTCGAAACAACAACAATGGAAATATTTTCATTGTCTTTATTGTTGTAGTACTTGATGGCATTTTTTTTTACAGTTAAGGTAGTTTATAAATAGAATTATTTAAAAATATGCATTAAATGTTCTTGTACACTTTCAAGTGTCTACTCAAATGTTATAATAATGCAGACGCCAAATTCAAAATTACTGAATAAATAAAACACAACTTTGAATCGATCACGTGTTTCTCGTGTTGACCGTCTAAATAAAACAAGACCTACTGCTTAAAAGCCCATTAAATATGATTACAGTGTAGAGTAAATTAAAGGGCCTAAAAACCAAACTATCACGAGTTTTATCAAAAACGTCGTGTAGGGTTTAAGATATTCTCCGAATAATAATATTACACGAACAATGCTTATGTATACTGTTTATGCTAAATACCTATTTATTAGTCATAGTATAACTACACAATAACATGATATAAGTGTAAAGTTTACAACAGTTTAATAATGATATTATAATGTGATTGATAGTTTGATGTTTTTACCAATTTTTTATTTTCTACTATTCATTTTTATGATCAACCAAAATACGATCATTGTTTATTTACTATGTCCACATTGACCTATAGTTAATTACATAATTCCGCATTTATGACGAACAATAAATAGCTATAAACATAATATATTTTTATGATTAAAAAAAAAAAAAAATGTTTTACGTTCGTTATTATTATAATTAATTATTTTTGAAAAGTATTTATTTATTTTTTCAAAAACTATCAAAAATTACAGTATTTTTGATTTTAGTACATTATTATGATAATATGTAAATGAAATTATCGAGTCAAATAATAATTTCATCGTATAGTAGTTTTATTACAAATTTTTTCTTTTGTTATCCAATATAATTGCATTTTTTTATTATAAACATGTTTCACGTTAGATATCGTTTTATAAACTAAGCTAAAAAATAGCTTATATTCTATTTTTACCATAAACGAAAATCGTATTTAACAATTTATACATATATTACGTATATATTTACCTAAGTGTAAGTGTATAAGATTTTTAATTAATAATTAGTCAAAGCATAAATAAATAATTATAGTTAATATATTCAATGATATAAAAAATTGAAAAGTATAAATTCTAAAATTGTTATACCACCTACATTAACATATTACTTTTCGGCCAAACCGTTTTAAAATTAAAATAATTAATTGTATTACACTAATTTTGTTATAATTTTATAAGTCAATAAAAAAGAACAGTTTTACGATTAAGGTGTATAAAGCAGATAGTTTGATTTGCAATGCTTCAAATAATTTGCCGACTTCATTATTGAATTTGCTTTGACTTTATATTTCTCGAAATATTTGAATTTCAATTATGCGGACGTCATACCTATTACATTAGTGGATGAAAAAAATATATGCTTTTTTTCCGCTAGCATTAATGATACATTCAAATGATGTAAAACTGTAACTCTGTTGCCAATATAAATAACTGTCAATACCGTCTCAATTAATTGTATACGTTTTCCACATCTGTCGTAATATTCGTCAAAATATTTAACTTTACTGTAAAATGTTTCGATGTGAATTACCGATAATAATTGTGAAATTATAATCGTACTTAAAAATATGTATTTTTTTTTTTTGTTTGTGTCTTGTCAGTGTATCAATATAGAAGTGATATCAATCCTTTATATAGATATCAACAATATTAATAGTGCGATAATAAACACAGATATAATAATAATAGAAACAACAAGTAAATGTTTAATACCCATTAAAAACAAAATTATTGTATTTTTAAATTGTTAGTATTTAAAAACAGAATTATAATAATTAAAAATAATTTATAGAAATATATAATATGTACTTTAAAGTAACTGTACTTGTTAGTCTATAACAACTGTTTTGTTATCTCTATATTGTCAAATGTGATTAAAATTGATTCATTTAATTTAAGATTTTAGCGAAGTATTAGTTTTACAGTTGAGAAGAGTCGCAGAGATGTTAAATAATGTTATAAAAAGTTATTTTTTTATTTTATTGTGATGTATATTATTACTTTATCTAATATTTATCTTTTAACTTTTATATTTTATAAAGTTTTATTTTTTATTTATTTATTATTTTCTCGACAAATAAAATATGGTTGTTTGATTTGTATCTAACAGATAATTATTTAAAAAATATTATTTCTTATTTTATAGATAACTATATAATTATAAAATATATATTATATTGTATAATATAATTTATTCTAGTCTATACATTCATTTTTCCTCGAGTACCTATCCACTCAACCACCTTTCATATTACTATCCGCACATATTATTATTCAACGTGTTGTACGTGCCACGTGCTGTCATTGTGATGTTAGCTATTTACGATACTCAACCATCATAACTGAATGTATGCTATTCTGACAAGTAACAACACAAGAACAACATAATTTTCTATAAAAACGAACTTCGACGAACGGAACATTTATTACCACGGATTTACGTCAACAGCTGTATAGTTGTAAAGGCATCCTAGAAATTCTTGAGCTGAAATAACAGACATATTTGAAATACTCTAATATTATACGTACCTAGGTACCTTCCTCGTGTTGTAGTGAAGTTGTTTTGCGCATTTTGCGACCTGTGCACTATAATGGTGAAGGTGGTGCTTATGATATTATTATTATATCGATTGGTAAAAAACATAACCGAAGAAATTAAAACGATGGAATACAAACAATCGACTTTTCACCCGGTCAAGCAAATGTAAGTTTATTTTAGTTTTTTTTTAAATAACGAATGAGGTGAATGTTGCGTTCCCAAAAGTTTTAATAATTTTAAGAATCCCGAGAAATACTGCAGTAACCGTAAGGAAACCCTAGTTTGTCTCCAGGGCATAGTCGCCAAGATTTATTTGAAACTTTTTCATCGGTTGCACGATTAAGTTTTTTTTGTGGAGAGCGATGCATCTATTGGTCTTACGGGAATGTGTGTGTGTGTGTGTGTGTGTGTGTGCTTGTATCATGTCTGTGTACGGTACATTATATCTTGGCGTTTAGATGGTTTCGTAGTTTTTTTTTTGGGGGGGGGGGGGGGGGCATTTTCTGAAGACTACAGACAAATCGATAAAAAGAAGCTAAAGGTAATATTTAAAAGCTAATTGATTTTGTTTAAACTCAGCCCTATAAGGTTATAATATGCTTTTTGAGACTTATAATATTGATTTTTTATTAATAATACTTAATATTACGTTTCACTGTTAAGCATAGGTATGTTTAATATTAAATTGATAACCATAATATGTGATGAAAACTTTCAAAATATTAATTTCATACGATTGTGCTCTAACATGATTTTGTATTATCGAATCTCAAAATGTTCACAGTACGAAATTCAAACACACGTAAGTACAACTTTGATTTTGCAGACTTACATAAAAATGCACGTAGTGTGTGTCTTTGAAATATAATATGTCGAAAATAGACGTACCTAGGTACCGATCGGTGGTAGTTCGAGTAACTTTAGTTGGTTACTTTCTGTTACAAAGGTATGTAACGTAGACACAGAGGCTGAATAGTAAATCTTTGTATAAAACTATAAACATATTAATTGGAATATAAAACAGTGTACTCGATCCTCGTTGGTGGTTTTAATTCAGACAATCCATATCAGCTATGTCGCTTTTCTCTAATCTCAAATTATTATTTATGGGTTTGCTTATTGTTTTTGCTATCGATTTGGCTTGTTAAATATATTTATTATAAGGTTTTTTTTTTCATGTCAACCAACTGCAATATTATATGGTTACGATGGCAGACCTATTTAATATTACGGTCATATCATTGTGTTTTTTTTATTTTTCATCGGTTTTGCAACGAAGGTCGAATGTTTCGACATTCAACTATTTTCACTAAGTCACATGGTTTTAACTTTTAAGACATATTATTAGATAATCCTGTATATACAGCATTTCATCTAATATAATGTTTAATGTTTGACTACTGAATATTTAATTGAAAAATAATTAACTATCTAATAAGTATTTACTTAAAAAATATATTAAATTATAAAGTCATAGTTATAATATAATATATTACCAATACTACTAATTAACGAAATATGTAGTATTGTGGTCAGGTATACAGAATGATTGGTACAGTGATACACAATACGAAACAATGAATAATTACTGCTTCCTTGGTTACTTCAAATGGTTATATTGAAAATACCAAACCAATTGTTTTTCATATTAAATAATTAGTTTGAATTTTTAATTTTAAAATCTCAATAATTTCTATTCTAAGATTATACACACGGGAGAAGAAGAAGAATTTTAAAATACTTACCTATTTTAAAGTTTAGATGTAAAAGTTAAAAAAATGAAAAACTTAATTACTCAACTTGATGTTTTTAAAGATGCACAGTGTAATTGTAAATGTTAATCACTTAATGTTAGTTTCAATGTTAGTTAGTTCAAATATTATGGACATTTTTGAAATTTTTTTTACATAATTTTAAGATATTGTAAAGCACAACTTTTGAACAAAATGTATTTTTATTATTATAGATTTTTACAAGTTTTATATTTTTTTGTATGCCAATATACCTACATGTTTTATGTCAATATCATATTTCAAAGTAGAAAATTTTTTTAGAATTAATTGGCATAAAAATTAAATTTTAAACGAGTAACTAA